CAGAAGGGCAAACAAGGTGAGAGGGTGGGGGAGGCAGAATAGAAGTGTCAAGGGAAAGTCTGTTTGAAGTCCAAGTCATTTTCCAACATGGTTGCTGCAGTGTGAGCAAAACAGTCTGGATGCTTGTGCTCGCAGTAGGTGTGTGTGTGTGTGTGTGTATTAGGAAACATAAGAAAGAGACAGAAGTAAGGGAGAGGGAGAGAGACATAGACAGAGGAAAAGATTGAGTAAAGATCAGTAAAGAACAAGGAGCGCATTGAGAAAGATCTCCGTAGTTGCCATCAGGTCTATTTTATGTCAAGGGACGGCTGTAACAAGCAGAACCCCCCCCCCCCCCTTCCCCCACCCCTCCCGTCTCCCACCTCTCATCTTCCCAACTCCAAATGTGTGTTCCTGATATATCGCCGCTCTGTGACATTCTAATGACGACTTAATCACAGCCTATAGCTGTTATCAAAATGGCTTTTAAAAATACAGTGACAGTGATGCTGATTTTAGGAAGTGCAGAAAGTGAGTGCCAAAAGTCGAGCTGCCAATGAAAGCTGAATCATACGGACAAGTTTTAATTAAAGGATTAAAACCAAAGTAGAAGTTTAGGTTTGGAGTGCACTGGACAGTAGCCATTTGGACGCAGTTGGACGTGGGTTCAGGACCTGATAAAACAGATTGAGTCATTGAATTGAGGCCATTCTATCGCAAACACAGATTGAGCCCAATGTTCATGACCAGGGTTCTGGTCTCTCCTTCAGCCGAGTGTATCCCAATGGGAAGATAATCTGGGAAAAGCAGCGATATCAAGTCCACTCTGAGATGCCTGAGAAGCCTTGTGAGACCCTCTGGAGATATGAGGCTTTGATATCAAACCAATTATGTGGTGTGGCACGCGCGCACACACACACACACACACACACACACACACTGGCCTTGGAAAGAGGTAGAGAGGAAAACAGAGGCAGACCGTGATACTGAGGACACACTGAGCAGGCGGAACATGCCCTGATGTTATCCACCGGTTGAGGTTGGTTTTGAAAACCAAAAGACGATGCAGACACAGAGAGAATGGCAGAGTGAAAACTCTGAACCAGACTGAGTAATACAGGTCTGACCATATGAGAGAGAGAGAGAGAGAAACAAAATCAAGCTGGATGTGGATGACCTCACTGCAATTTGTGGAAAGGACACATTAAACCTTCCACCATCTAAAGTCACCAAGTTCACAATAGGCACACATATACATGAAGGTTTTTATTACATAGAACATTCTGACATTCTTAATCAGGTTCACTGTGCGCAGCAGCATTTCTGCCACTTCTGTTATTGGCTCTGCACAAACTGAAAAGGCAAGACCAGCGCTCTCTTCACGCCTTTTGTGAGACACTGGCATGCACTAAAAATACACCGTATTTGATAAACATTTTTTCCAGTCTGAGTCACCTCCACTGAGGATCCCTGAAGATCAGGATTGGCCTCTGGCTCTGCTAATTGGAGCTTAAAGTCTGGTGTAGCCCCTGGGCAGCGTGTGCGGTGTGCTGCACATGCTGTGTGTATCTGCGTGTGTGCTCGCGTATAAATTATGGATTGCAGAGACCTGTCAGAAAGTGGCCACACAAGCTGCAGCTGCTAGAGTGAGTGGTTTGGGACTGAATCAATCCAAAGCAATCACAATCAGAGCAGCGGCACGTGACGGAGACAGGTGGTCTAATATACAGCACAGAAAGAAGGGTTTCACATAATATCCACACTATAGATCTTTTCCACAGCAGACATTTTGACATGTGCAAAAGAGCTGTGCGATGAAAAGAAATGACGACTGAATGCAAAGAGGCTGTGCTCACAGTATCAGTTCCTGCGACATGTCAAAAAGCTTTTATGGAAAAGGCTAATAATGTCAATGACAGACGGTTCCAACTTTGGCTCACATCTCCAAACCACATTCCACATTGGTGGAATCCATGACTTGAGGGAATCACAAGCCACGGTAAACAATTTTAATGTTACATTATTAAAAAATATATTAAAATAAATGATTTATGACACACTATTGACATTCATTTAAGACCTTTGTGCTCAGTCACTGGGCAGGGTTGTTTACTCGTGTCAGGATTTTTAAATGTTTTTCCTTTTCATACTTTTGTGTTTACAGAGGGATTACACTCGAATAGAGTTCAGAGATATAAATAATCTAATATAAATACAGGGTTTTTAAAGCAGCAGGGGCAAGTCATCTAAGGTCATCTCAGGTCATCTAAGGTCACCTCAGGTCAGTCAGGTCCCTTAACGCCCACCAGTCCCAAGTGCAACTTTTTCAATATCAAATACATTTGCAGTTGTGTTTGTATGACTAAGTGGGCAATCTTGCAACCTCGCTGATTGCATTTGATTATTCTTGTTTTTTAGAGAATACATTTCTGCTGTGCAGTTTATTTTTTATGAAATACTATAATAAAGAGAAAAAAAGAGATTTAAAAAGTTTATTGGGTAAAAGTAAAACCTTTCAATGTTTGTACCTTTTCTACAATCTCAAGTACAAGCTGGCTCTACGGCACAGCTTTCAGAAACGGAGGTCATCTCACTTAACGTAAAGGAGATGTCATGAGTCATTTCCTTTGTCTGATAATGTTTTGTTGTTGTGTGCAATTCAACTGCACATACAGGAAACTGAGAGCAGCAGAAATGTGAAGGATAGAAGGTGTCAGTGTCACAGACAGTCAGTCACAGTTCTGACAACGGTGCTGCAGCACTTGTCGCACTTGTAAGTGAGCAATAAATTATTCCAATCTGAGCTCCCTGAGACTGAGTAGTGGTTTTTGTTCTGTACAAAAAGATTTCAAAAAATCTTCCAAATGTTCCTGTTTTGTCTGAAGCTTGGTGTGCTGTGAGTCAACCTTGCACATTTTGTACTAAACTGTACCATGGGACAGGGGTAATTAAAAAAGGAACACATTTAGCAGTTCATTGTAAGACCTGAAGTAATCTTTCCGCGCAGGAGCTCTATCGAGAGTTGCCTTTGTGCTCTCCACATAATTCATTCATTATGCATTCAGGTGTCATAACAACACTGACCTGAGTGACATGATCTTGTATGCGTCAGGCAGGTAGCACCGTGTATTCTCCATCTGTGCAGGGTCAGAGTCACAGATTTTGTCGTCGGTGCGGCCATAGTTGGCGCTCTCAATCATGATGACATCTGTGCCTGGGCAACGCAGCTCGATGGGGTAAGACTCACAGGACAGCTCCCTGCGCACCACTGCCATTGGGATAGGGGCACGGCCATCCGCTGGACACACGGGCACAAAGACACACACATTTGAATAAAGATGTGGTTCATCATAATGAAAACCCTCCAGCCCCGTGGAACACATGGATACTCTGTATCAGCTGCGCCTGTATTTGCACCTCTGTCGTATTGACTAATTATCCCCTTTATGGAAAAACAAATGAATCAGGTGCATGTCCACTGCTGTAAATAAAATCATAATTACTGCTCCACAGACGGCACTTGTGGGCATCAGTGTATGTAGAGAATAATAGCCCAGTAAATGCAACAGGCAATTAGTGGTATTAAAGTTGTTGAGAGATAACAGCATATTATTTTCAGAAGCTGCAAATGTTGAGCCATACTGTACATCTAGACCCATTATAGAGAAACAGTAAACACGTCATTAGTTCTAATGAGAGTGAAGCCACTGATGTGTTGGAGAAATTTTAATGCCGTTGCTTTGCCCTTTAACTTGATAATGAGTCGATCAGATGAGGCTCCTTCGATGATGAAACATCTGCGAGAGCAAAGAGAAACATTTGTTGGCAACCTACGACATGTGTATGATATTAGACCGGTCCAAGAAATGAAAAATTCAAAAAAATCATGATCATAATTAATCATGATTAATTTAGATAATTAACATGTTTCACATCTGTTTTTATTTGTGAGTAATCCAAACAATGGAATTATTAATATGGAAAATATATAAAAGAAAACTGTTAAAATTATAGTTAGATTTTCAGTCAGGCTTGTCTGTCTCAAGCACAAATAATAATGCTATTTCAAAAAATGATTTTTATTCCATTTTATCTGAATGTCTGTCCTCCTACAAATATAGTTGGAGACCCCCTGATTTGAATTTAACTGCAATAGAGTCTGTACTCCACCCGTCGACACAGCACATCTTACGTAACACGCAGTACAGAGCGTTTTTTTGGGTGGGTACTATTTTACCCCTCACAAAATAGAGATTTTTTTGTTTTGCCGGACTGCCTAGAGTTAAAAAGTCCACCACATTTTTTTTAGAACTATGTTAACAAAAAAACAAACTTAGCATAGTGCCTTGTCATTTGGGGGCTATGACATATGGCTGGATGTTCCAGGGATTTGTGGTTGTTGTGTTGCAGCTTCAATGTTGTTAGTCTCTTCTCTCTAGAGCAGCAGTCCCTGGGAGCTGCAGCTATCTTACTACTGTATATCAAGTGAAGTATTCACAGATGTTGTTTGGCTCTGCCAATATCTGGGCTCTACTGTACCTGTTATGCAGTATTCATTATTTTATACTTTACATAGTTTCATATTGTTTTTATAAGGAGACCATGCTAAAGGAGCACATCTGAGAATACTGGCTTCACCCAGTGCAATATAGGAAATATGCATAGTCCCTCTCAATAAAAACTCTAGTACTAGAGAGTACTAAATCCGAGCCACTGTGTGACTGCTTCTTATTTCACGATGACATTCTTTTCTAATTATGAAGCCCCTTAAGGACTACCAGTCCACATGCAGAAAGAAAACACTTTCGTATATACATCAAACATAAAAACCCAGACTTATACCGTTTCCAAAAGGTGAGACTTCATCCCACCTTTCTCACTCTCCCAGTCATGGTGACCATAGCAACACTATCCTCCCTCCCTGGGCTCGCTCACTGGCCGGAGGAGTGTCATGGTTACACAAATGCCGCAAAGAATCTGAATGAGCCCAATGACTTTCTGCCCAGACTCAACTTAATACTGCCCTTCACCACATCACACACAGGCACTTAACCACACAAGCACACACACACACATTTTCTCTACACACCCATGCATACAAATGCTGGGAGCGGTGGCATGTGGAGGCAGAAATTCTAAGCCAGTGAAGTCGATATCTGCATGGTGCTTGTTACTCCGGGGCACTACGCTGATAATGGCAAGAGCTAGCTTAGAGATAAGACTGATATATAAGTGACATTTACAGAGGATGTCCTTTCTAATGAACACACAGAACACTGCGGGCTGTGATTAGACCTTAAGCGCACATTCAGTCAGAATTAGTTTTTTAGTAGTGGCTGAGGATCTTGAAGACTTCATGCATGGAAGAGACTGCCTCTTAAGGCAAAGGGGTCATTAGTGTTTTAATACTAGCGTAAGGTTATTAGTTTCTCAGTGGCAACATCCCGGCCGCCATCATGTGCATGAATGTCATTTTTTGAGGACAGTAGTAATTGATGTTTACAATACCCTGTGTTGGAAAGAAACCATCTGGACTCACATTGGATCAGATGTCTTAAGTGTTGCCTTACAGGAGCTGGGCACAGAGATAACAGTGACATCATTTAAATATATGTGGTCTGTCTGTATTGTAATTAAAATCCCATATACAGTAGGGCTGGTAAATTCCTTGACTCTCACACGCTGCCCTGTCTTGTTTATCACCCATTAATTTATCTGTTTACATCAGCAGCCTCCCTGAGAAAAAGTGCTCTGCGGTCATTCTGCCTACGAAGGGATTTCAGGCATGCACAGTTATAAAGACAAGCGATACACACATGTAAGCACACGCAGCGCATGTCACTATTTACTGACTTTGCAAAGGTGCAATAAAGTCCGAGCTATCAAGTGCATGTTAATGTGTCTGTCATTAGTTGTGTAAGTGGTGACAGAAAGTTGGCAGCAACGGACAGTACAGACAGTCTTATTCAGACTCTCTTATTGCCTCCAGGGGCTGAAACAAAAGGATATTGATTTTTACATTTGGGCCAAGAACAAGAGAGTGGCAAAAGAGGTGAATAGATGGAAAGAAGGAGAAGGAGAGGGCGAGAAGGAGGAGGAGAGAGATTTAAAAGGTGATCTCTCACTTGCACTGCCACGGTGTCTGGCTACTGCTGAAATGTAGTGTTGTAACATGAAAAAATAATATTTTGTTCAAGTGCAAAGGAGGCTATAGCTGTGTACAGTGTACATTTTTTTTTGTATGGTCAATATATATTGTAAAGTAAAACCTAAATGAAGGGAATGAATCTTCAAAAAAGTATGTACAACTTTGTAAGGCAGACATTTATTTAGGTGCAGTTTCTTTGTTTCATAGACAAAAAAAGAAAATAAAAAAATGTTGTAAGTCAAACATAAATTATTCCTGTCCAGGCCCTTGGAGCTGCTGCAGCTGTGTTCCAGCATATAATGTGAGAACCATCTGCACAGTCCACCCTTTATTATTGGGTAGGGAACTTCTTCCCCGGGGGTTCTGTGTAAAAGGTCCCTGGCTAAGAAGTTGTCTGAGTAAATATGTGTCGTACAGTTTGCAACTCAATGTTCAATGATTTTTTTTTTTTGTTCTATATCGCTGCTTATAATGTAACCGGCGTAGTCACAGAAGGCATTGTACCGTAGTTTAAAATGAAATATTAAGATTTGGAGAGACATTTCTGACTATTTTCCTCATTGACAGTGTAAAAACAAAGCGACATCGTTCTTTGACTATTTTCCCTTATTAACAGTGTAAAAACAAAGCGACATCGTTCAACAGTATGACCCTGTGGATGGTAAGGCAGTGTTGGTGACCTATGCTATAGTTTTGATGATATGACTGCAACACGCTCTAGCTCTCAGCAACACGATCAACAAGTCCACCCTGTCAGGTAGAACATTGTTCCTGTCAGAAATACAAACCTGACAAACACACAAAACCCATGTCTCCCTTCTCTGTTTTACTTGTCAGGACATAACCCTGAAATAATGACAAGACAGAGCTCGCTACAGTAGATCAAGTGCTCTCTGCTGCGTGTCTTCAAGCTAAACTGTGTTTGCTTCACCTAATACTTGCTAAGTTAAAGCAGTGTGATTTGTGAATGCCAAGTTATTCCTCAGACACTCACACAAATATTCACTGATATTTTTTTATCTTCGGGCAAAACAACTCAAAGAAATGTCTGGTTACGTGTCCGAGCGGTTGAGGCTAAAACTTGAGTTTTTGTTTGACTGTTCAGACAGACAAACTTGAGTTTCTGTTTTCTGATAGCAGCTTCTATAGTGAGTCATATCAATGCTATTAAACATGGTAATCAATTTAAAAAGGTTGAACACACATCGTTTACTTAACAATTATCAATCATTTGGATTTGTCACAAATAAAAACTAATGACAAACACATATACCTACCTGCTGTTGTTTGGTTTTCTGGATTTTCACAAATAAAAACTAATGAAAAACACAAATACCTGCTGTTGTTTGGTTTTCTGGATTTCTAATTCCTCAGCAGAATACCCAGTATGTATACATCTACTGTGTAATGAATGGACTGTAATCTTACCTATGGCGAGTGGGGCAAACAAAGTGGTGATGAAGAGCAGGCATCTGATCCACATGACTTCAGAGGTTGACCTGGAAGCAGATATGGAAGGACTTCCTGCAGAGCCCAGACAGCCTCGTGCTGAGCTGTTTTCCTCACAGCTCTGTGTTCTCGACACCATACAAAACTGCAAAAGGGACACACAAACACAATTTGTTCACTTGTGTGCCATATAAAACCGATGGCTCATCTCAAGTCTCACTGACAATGTAGATAAATTGTTTACAAAAGTTCTACAAACAGTTTTATAACTGGAAGGTTAACGCAGCAGGACAAAGTTTCCCCAGACACAGAACTACTCTGTTGGCTTAATAGCAGATTGATATTTTAACAAACAGCACTTAAGGTCAATGCGGCTTCCTGTAGACATATGTCATAGACGTCTGTGCAGTAAACAATAAAAAATGAACAAATAGATTGTCTACATACGGAAGACTTCCATCTGTGGTATTGTGAAATTGAACCAATAAACCGAGCAATTTACCTCGACTTGATGTACATATTAGGGCTGACCAACAAATACATTGTTTTTAAATTGCAAATTATTACACAATGATTGCAATTAATTACCGTTTTACGTGCCAAAATCAACATGAAATTTGAAGTTGTGTAATGTATGCTTATGTTTGAAAGGTGTGGATTATAAACAAAAGTGCAGTCACAGTTGGTTTGATAAACACTCTATAAAATCAAAATAAGACGCTTCTCACAGCAGCATTCCCTTTGCACGGTAGCAATTAAAAAATAACAACTTAAACTTAAACTAATGTGTTAAAATGCCCAGATGTAGTATACATATCACACCCACACTTTATAAGTATAAACACATTTCTTGAGATTTTAGTCTGTCGGTTTATGTTTCTAATTTCGGTTCAGAGGACTGTAACAAACCCTCCAGGGATTTGTTGTGTTTGTGACTTACACATAGTAACTTGCATAGTTGTAGGAATTTCCAATATGCATATGTAGGTCATCTTTAACTAGTTCATCCACGTTCTCAATATTTTTTCATGACTTAAGATATTTTGTTATGCTGTTTTTGCAGGAAATTCCCAAGTAACTACTGCAGCTAATACTAACACCGCTGCTGTCCTGTGTACAGACCAAAGCTGAAGGTCAGTTTAATTTAGGTTTTAAAATGCATCTTATAACCAACATCAGGATAATAGATGCAACGTAGTTTACTGACTGCCAAATGAAAAATGCAAACTTTGTGCTTCCAAAGGGGCATTTATTAAGTTTGAAATCCATTTCTTTTTAATACTTACCATTTTGCTTTTGGGAAAAAAAATATATGAATAATTAGAGTACTTAAATCTGCCATATAAACTGCATAGTTTGCATTAATTACCATATCTTATATAAAATACAACATTATTATAGGGTATTTTTTGTTTTGCTAAAACAATAAGTATCTAGTGTTGCTGACAGTGATGGTGTTGTCTGTGTCAGGCTTGACCTCAATAATGTTACTCACTGACATCAAAGTGTGAAGCGCATGGATGTCCTTATCTAATCTGTATTTCATGGTGGATCAGTAATAAACTATTAATAAGAGGGTGGTCAGTGAGAGTTGTTAGAGTGATAACAGACTGGTCAGCATCGTTCCGCTGTTTTAATAATCTTATTACAGCGTCACCGGCATCATCATATATATATATATATATTTGTTCAGCAGTTCCAACAGAGTCCCTGCTTTTAGGTACTCTCAAATTCTAAGTCTGTTACTAGACTCACACATCCGGGCCTGGTCCCAGTTCTAATGGGCATCACATCTGTAGCATATCCCACCCAAAGACAGTCCTGCTCTTGAACTGGTGATTGTGGTGATAATAAAAATCTTAAAACCAACGTAAGAGCTGGTTTTCAACACAGAATAACAAACATAACGACAACGTACATAAGCTGTTGGAACCTAATTAACGATCATTAAGCGATAATTAGTAGACTACAGATGTGACTTAAACACAAATAGCATTTTAATGATACACGTTAAGAAAAAATTAATAAATAAATGAACCTTATGCCTTTTCGGAGGGTTGTTTAAACCTTGAACATGTTTTTGTTTTCATGTAATTCTTTACCGTCTTCCTTCTCCGTCACTTATTTGCCAATTGTGCACTATCACATCGCGATGACGATGAAAATACGATTAATCGTATGTGAGCTGACAGGCCTTTTGTATTAACACCATGCAGTCGTCCTTGTGCGGATGAAACAAACATCACTGGCACATAATAGAGTGATTCAAAAGCGGCTGAAGCAAGCAAAGCCTCAGTCTGACACTTCCACTAAAAATAAACAGTAACACAACAGTACTGTGTCTGACTGTTTGTCTGTCTGGAAGAGAGAACAGTTACGGAAATTAGCATTGGCCAGGGCCAGATGGAGTGAAGCAGACAGCCAGAGCCATGGGAAAAATATCATGTGTAACAGAGACTATTGATCACTCTGACCATACCATTATGACCCACCAGACACAGGACAATAGTCAGTGAGCTGTGTCATGCTATTAAGGCGGTTTTTGGCACAGTCTCTTACCCAGATAACTTAGCAGGAAAGCCAGATTATAAATGAGGGCCACACACATTGTCTGAACGACAAAGACCTTTCTGTAACCGCCAAAAACGAGCTGCACTCAAACAACTGTGCAGTCAAAGGTCCTCTTAGTAAAAACGGCATAGATCAAATCTCTGTAAACAGACAAATCCCAGAGAGAATAGAGGAGTTTTTGGGTTTTTTTTCAAAAATGAATCACAAAATTTGAGAATATCCCAAATTTCACAAAAATATAGAAGTATATGAAAACGTATATAAGTATGTTTTTATGAATGCATATGAGTTTGCTGAAACAAGTCTGTTGAAAGATAAGAAAGATAAAGAGTTAAGTTAGAGACATCAGAAGATCCTGTAGCTCCCCCCCCCCGTTCCCCTGAGAGACTCTCAACAGACTCCCATGCTTTAACGTCTCAACAGGCCGACCCTTTTTGATTGATTGGTGCCTAACCTGGTTGAACATGAGAAATCTGACCAGCTGTCCTTATGCAGACACAGGAGGCAACAATGACATATGGCTGGACGCCACCAGCCACAGCCACAGCATTCCACTGATCCATAATTCAAAAGCCACTCTATCACACCGTATGCTCCCCCTGAACTCACTCATTAATTAACCCTCTCTTTTCCACCTTGCTCACAACTGACTTCACAGTCAATGGTAATACGGGAGCCTTAAGCGGTCTAACCCTAGGTCTATCACTCAAGTTGTGTTCATAATTCAACAGGCCTCCACACACCCATATGTTTCCATAATGATATTAAAATATGTCTCATCAGTGACGGTTCGCCCGGTGTAGACAGGACCGATCCCCTGAAGTAGTTTACTAGTTTCCTATTTCTGTCAGATGTTTTATCTCATCATCCTAATGCGTCATTTGGTTAATATATTATAAATAAACAGGCAGTAATTACGCTAATTATCATAACATATGTGATCCATTTACAGCCTGTATTTATTGGGTGATCGCAAACACATGCAGGATTTGTTTAATATTTTTCCAAATACCAAACCAAATCCACTCTCAGAAAAAGAAGAAATAATACAATTAATGTTTTAAATGAATCCAAAGGTTCCTCTCTTTTGCTTTTTGTATCCCAGTAGAGACGACATCTTGAGTTTACAGAGGGTAACGTGTAATAAACCAGGAACAACGTCAGCTAACAGACAGGATCGCATCAAAACAAAGAGCTCTCAGTGCTCCAGGACCTTGAATTCAAGTGTGGTTTCATCCGTCCTTGCCTGTTTTATCTACTTAATAAATGTTCAGAAATTGCTCATTTATATAAAAAATACCGTACATTCTGTCATGAAGGCTTTCTTTTTCAGTAATGTCTAAATGTGTCTAAAGAAACCCATCTATAATCAAAGTAAGGACTGTCAGCTGACAGGGACATCGCCATGGACACTACTTTCACAGGCTGCAGCTCATCGCATGCATCTATGAACTAATTGATGTAGCGCTAATTCTGTGCTCCGAGGCACTCTGACCCTGCGTGTGTGCACGCGCGTGTGGATGGGTGGGTGTGTGTGTGCGTTTGTGTACAGTCCCTTAACAAGAGAGCTGTCTGTCACCGCAGTCCTCATTCGGGGATTCTGTCTTTCACTAATGAGTGCAGACTGGAGTGTGCTACCTTGTCAGTGGATGTCACACACACATACACCCTCATATATATATGTAGTATATATGGAAGTAGGCCATCTCATGCTGGTCAGGCATTACTATAGTAGACAGCAGTATAGCTGAAAAAACTCATGACATATATTCTATCAGTGTTCCTGAGACAAAAACATATGTGGGTGTGTATCCTGGAAACTGAAATCAAGTTCGGCAGTTTGGTTTTTTGCGGTGCATCTCTTCGTTATAGACATTCTTATTATGAGTCACACCAGCCATGGAGGCTGATCTGTAGTAGATCTGCAATAAACCAGATTGTCCTAGCAGAGACACGACGGACACACAAGTCTGAGAAACGGAGAAAAGTGCATTTTAAGCGCCGCGTTTAAGTTTTCAGCTTTGTCGGCTTATTTTCATCAGCACACCCTTCGCCCCGCCCCTCATCACGACCTTTTTGAATTTTAATTGAATATCCTTGTTCTATTATATTGTCAAACAGTTCCAGCAGCTTCAGCATCTTTCTTTCTCCTTTATTAAGTTTTTTTTTCCCTCTCTCACCTATTCTTCTCTCCTCTCTGTTTCATCTCCTCACTCGCCCATTCTTTGCTCTGCTGACGAGAAGTCCGGGCGGAACAAAGCTCATGGGGCCATGCAGCGTGTTCAGTAAAATGGCATGTGTCTGCCAAGCTATGGTAAATTACCTCCAGTTGGCTTGCTAGGCTAGGTTTAACCACCGTGACCATTTCTGGTTTTGTTTGCGTGCGTGAAAAGGAGAGAGAGAGAGAGAGACAGAGAGAGAGAGAGAGAGACGGCGATACCGGTGTGGCTAATTACCATCAGCACATAGCTGGACTGGGAAACTGTTGATTAGAATGACCATGCAAACACACACACACACCCACACTTAGCTAAGTTGGCAGAGTGAGCTGATGATTAATCAGGCGACGACCTG